AATTACAAATCAATGTATCAAGGTATGTTCCGCATTAATTAATCTTCTTGGTGATTTCACGTGATGATCTTGGCAATTATGTAAAGTTTATAAAGTTTAAGATTTATTAAAAATTCAACAATGGTGTCACGTGATAAATTAAAATATTGATATAATTTCATATCAGAGATTAAATAAAAGTTACTTTTCAATATTCGTGTTGATTTATAATTTGATTCCTCTCAACTTTAGATGAATAATTAATGTTATAATGTCATTATCATAATAGTTGCAATTAGAGATGGATGAATAATTGATCCCTTTGGACAGACTGGATGTTAATGGATAATCAAGAAGACAAGAAGTGGTGAATATGCCATGGTGTTTTTGATGAGAAAAATAAGGCATTTTAGTTACTTGGACAGAACTTGGCCGAACAATGAACTTTCTTAATAATGTCTAGCATTATTCATTATAAATATATAACATGTAATTAATATGAATAAAGTTAGATGTACGTTCTTGGTTGACAACAAGTTTGACATTCCCTAAGTAGAAGAAATCTAGTCAGTAACGGGGATGAATGTGTTTAAAATCAATATCGTCGCATGAAAAATGTCAACTTAATGTCATCCATAATGTACATGTAGTTATATATATACAGAAATGATCTAATGAGCACCGGTGCTCATCTTATCCTAAGCACCGATGAGTTGGCACATTAATTCATTGGTGGATAAAGATTTTGTGAGTTCCAATCCACCAATGAATTAATGTGCCAACTCATTGGTGTTTAAGATAATATGAGCACCGGTGCTCATTAACTTAGGATCATGTTAATAAATAAAAAATACTTGAAAATGTGATGAACCAAACAAAATTGTGATGACAATATAATTGTCATTAAGAAAAAATCCACATGGTGCAAGTTAAACATCCCCGTGTGTGTATTTTGAACCTATTTTTCTAAGAATTAAACTAGTTGTACACTCATTTTTCAAATCAAGAGCCATGATTTTGACACATGAAGAATGTTAGGTTTGACGTATAGAAAGAATGTACATGTAGCAGTTTTATTTATTTATTTTTCTATGTCATTTGATTGTGTTGATGTACGTGACCATTGCGTGTTAAGTTATGATATTTGTAAAGAAAATCGATTTAATCCTATATTGATATAATCAATAGACAAGATTGTTTGGAAATACTTTTAGTTATGATAGCAAAAGTTTTGAACTCATAAGGTTATACACATTTATAAGATAACATATGTGGCCCAAGTGGGATATTGTTGGGAAATTATTTAATTTTGCCATGTGGGTGACATATGTAATTAATTGTGTATAAATGTTATCTTAAAATTAAATTCAAAATTAAAGTGATCTGATAAAGAATTAAGTAATTGGGTTTTGAAAATCTAAATAAACTGTGGGCCGGATTATATGGTAGAGACCGGATCCATTAGGGGTTATATTTGATAATGAACCGAATACATATGGAAACTATATATAGGATTATGACCCTCAATTCATATGCAATTTTTTTATTCTTTGTGTCATCCTACAAACACAAGAATTAATAGAGAGAGTACGTTGAAAAAGAAAATCCACAATCCACAATCAAGAATCAAGAAGAGGGATGTGAACAATTAAATAAAAGAACAAGAAATCAAGATTCAAATATCAATATTCAAGAATTACAAATCAATGTATCAAGGTATGTTCCGCATTAATTAATCTTCTTGGTGATTTCACGTGATGATCTTGGCAATTATGTAAAGTTTATAAAGTTTGAGTTTTATTAAAAATTCAACAATGGTGTCACGTGATAAATTAAAATATTGATATAATTTCATATCAGAGATTAAATAATTACTTTTCAATATTCGTGTTGATTTATAATTTGATTCCTCTCAACTTTAGATGAATAATTAATGTTATAATGTCATTATCATAATAGTTGCAATTAGAGATGGATGAATAATTGATCCCTTTGGACAGACTGGATGTTAATGGATAATCAAGAAGACAAGAAGTGGTGAATATGCCATGGTGTTTTTGATGAGAAAAATAAGGCATTTTAGTTACTTGGACAGAACTTGGCCGAACAATGAACTTTCTTAATAATGTCTAGCATTATTCATTATAAATATATAACATGTAATTAATATGAATAAAGTTAGATGTACGTTCTTGGTTGACAACAAGTTTGACATTCTCTAAGTAGAAGAAATCTAGTCAGTAACGG